GGCAGCACTGCCCTACGCGCAGCAGCCACAAGTACGGGCAGCAGCAGCAGCAGCGGCAGCAGCAACAGCAGCAGAAGCAGCAAGACTTGATATTGTTTCAAGTGATACCTGGGGTTCAAATATGGGGCCAAACGCTTAGGGTTTAGGGTTTAGGGTTTAAGGTTTAGGGTTTGGGGTTTAGGGCTTTGTGCAGACACCGGAGGCAGCCGTGGCGCTGTGCCGATCAGAAGCCGTCAGGCTGCGGCGGCAGCAGCAAGCAGCAGCGTGTGAGCAGCAGAAGCAACAGCAGCAGCAGCAGCTGCTGCTGCAGCAGCTGCAGCAGAAAGAGCAAGAGCAGCAGGCCGCAGTTAGCGCCTCAACCAACCTGCTGAACTGCAGCAAGCAGCAGCTGCAGCAGCTGCAGCAGAAGCTGCAGCAAAAGCCTTCGCAGCAGCAATGCCAGCAGCAAGTTGCTGCTAGCGAGCAGCAGCTGCAGCAGCTGCAGCAAGAAGCAGCAGCACACGGCGAGGCGGAGCTCAAGAGTGCGAACGCAGTCGTTGCAGCTGCTGCTTTTGCTGCTGCTACTTGTGCTGCTGCTGGTGCTGTTGCTGCCTGTGCTGCTGCTGTTGCTGCCTGTGCTGCTGCTGCTGCTATAGACACTGTTCGTGCTGCTGCTGCTGCTATAGACACTGTTCGTGCTGCTGCTGCTGCTGCGGCTGCTGTGTCTGATTTACGCTGAGCCATTTTCCCCAAAGTGGGTCTGCCTTTTACATTTGATGCTTATTTGCTGCTGCTGCTGCTGCTGCTGCTTAGGTCTTGAATCTCGAAGCGCGGCCTGTGGACAAACGCTGCAGCAGCTGCAGCAGCAGCGGCAGCAGCTGCAGCAAATGCAGCAGGCCCTGCAGCAGCACGAAGCGCTGGGGGTGTCTCTACAGGTGGCGCAGCAGCGGCAGCAGGAGAAGCAGCAGCTGCTGCAGCAGAAGCAGCAGCAGCTGCAGCAAAGCCTTGCTGCTCTTCAAAAAGCCTCCTTGGGCGCTTTTTCTAACGACCCGCAGCAGGCTGGTACCTAAACCCTAAACCCTAAACCCTAAACCCTAGCTTGCAACGGCGAAGAAGAGTTGCTTCTGGTCGCTTTTGTTTTGGTTCTTCAGGAGCGCAGCTAGCCGCAGCTGCTGCTGCTGCTGCTGACCCCACTATTGCTGCGTCTGCTGCTGCTGTCGCTGCTGCTGCTTGCTGTTTGCCTGCAGGCCCAGAAGCAGCTGCGAGCAGCAGCAGCAGCAGCTGCTGCTGCTGTGGCGGCAGCAACCGAAAAGGTGCTGCTGCTGCAGACGGCGCATGCAGAGGCTGAGGAGCTCGCAGCAGCAGCAGCAGCAGCAGCAGCAGCAGAGTAGGTGCAGCTCGGGATAGAAAGCAACACGCGCTATCTTAGCCACCAGCTTTGATACTGTAAGGTTTTCATGCTGCTGCTGCTACCGTTGCTGCTGCTGCTGCTGCTGCTGCTGATTGCCCACAGGGCGGAGGCCAAGTCCATTGATTCGAAGCTGCGCGCAGCAGCAGGCCCGCAGCTGACAGCCTCAAGCAGCAGCAGCAGCAGCGAAGTGCAGCAGCAGCTGCAGCAGCTGGAGGCGCAGATTGCTCAGGCTTTTGCTGAAAGAGAAGCAGCGCAGCAGCAGCAGCAGCTGCTGCGGCAGCAGCAGCTAGGCCGGCAGCAGCAGCTGCTGCAGCTGACAGCCGTGCTCGCAGAGCAGCAGCGCATGCTGCAGCAGATCAAAGAGGAGCAGCAGCAGCAGCAACAGCAGAAGCAGCAGCTCCAGGCAACGTGAGTCAAGACCTCAAGCCAGCAGCACAGCAAATCTGCTGCTGCTGCTGCTGCCCGTTTGCAGCAATGTTCTCTGCTGCTGTGGCTCCTGTTGCTGCTGTCTTTGCTGATCTTGCTGCTGCTATTGCTGTTGCTGCTGCGGTGATTTCAGTTTGAGGACACAACTTTTCTGCTGCTTTTTTGCTTCTGCTGCAGCGAAGCAGCACTGCCTGGGCAGCAGCAGCTGCTGCATGCGACGCGGCAGCAGCTGCAGCAGCTGCAGCAGCAGCAGCGACAGGCCGAGCAGCAAGCGGAAGCTCAGCAAAGGCAAATGGAGTCTGCTACTTCTCAGCTAGAATCGTGAGGCAGCAGCAGCAGCAGCAGCAGAGATGACAACAGGAGCAGCAGCAGGAGAATTTGCAATTAGAGCAGCAGCAGCAGCAGCAGCGTTGCAGAAGTAAGGCAGAAGAGCCACTGGCTGCGGTAGTCAGCGCCTGTCCCGTTATTCTTATTGCTGCTACTGTTGCTGCTGCTGCTGCTGCTGCTGCAGGATTGCTTCATCACTCGAGGAGCAGCAGCAGCGGCTAGGAGAGGCTGAAGCTGCTGTTTCTGCTGCAGCAGCGTCAGCAAGCGGCGCGAGGCTGCAGCAGCTGCGGCAGCAGCAGCAGCAGCTGAGTGCAGCACTGCAGCAGGAGCAGCAGCAGCAGGAGCAGCTGAATGCAGCGTTCGACAAGGGGCAGCAGCTGCTGCAGCAGGTAAAGGACAGCATAGAAGTGAAGCGGCAGCAGCAGCAGCTGCAGCAGCAGCAAGCAGCAGCAGAGGCCCAGCGTCGCGCGCTGCAGCAGACGCTGCAGCAGGGCCTGGCAGCGTTGGTGCAGCAGCTGGGCGCTGCAGCAGCAGCAGCAGCAGCCGAAGCAGCAGCAGCTGCTGCTGCTGCAGCTCAGCAGCAGCAGCAGCTCACAGCAGCAACCGTGGAGGCGCTGGTTGAGGCCCTTCGCAGAGACACAGCAGCAGCAGCAGCAGCACTGGCGGAGCAGCGGGGAGCAGCAGCAGCAAGAGAAGAAAGGAAGCAGCAGCTGCAGCGGGAACTCAACAGCGCAACCTACAGGCAAATAGAAGACAGATACGTAGAGGGTCAGCCACAGCAGCAGCAGCAGCAACAGCCGCAGCAGCAGCAGCAGCAGGTTCAGGTGTACGTACACCTCAGCAGCAGCAGAGCGATCATCAGCAGCAGCAGCAGAACACCGTTTGCAGCCCCTCACTTGCTTCTCCAGCCACATTAAACAAACAATTTTAATTTAATTAATTTAATTAATTAAAATAATTCAATTAATTTAAATAATTTAGTTAATTTAATTTAATTAATTGGTTCTTTCTGCTGCTGCAGCACTGGCGGACTGCGAGGCGGAGCGGCTGGCAGTGGAGGACTTGGACAAATACCACAAGGCCCTCGACAGGGCCCTCATGAACTACCACGCTGCCAAGGTAGCTAGCTAGCTAGCTAGCTAGCTGCTAGCTAGCTAGCTAGCTAGTGGCTAGCTAGCTAGTGGCTGGCTAGCTAGTGGCTAGCTAGCTAGTTAGCTAGCTAGCTAGCTACTGCCTAGCTAGGTGGTAGCTGGTCAGCTAGCTAGCTAGCCACCTAGCTAGCTAGGTAGCTAGCTATGTAGCTAGCTAGGCAGCTAGCTAGGCAGCTAGCTAGGCAGCTAGCTAGGTAGCTAGCTAGCTAGCTGGCTAGGTAGCTAGCTACCTAGCCACCCAGCTAGGCAGCTGGCGAGCAAGCTAGTTGGGCAGCTAGATAACTGGCCAGCTAGCTATCCGATAGCTCTCTGGCCAGCTAGCTAGATGGCTAGCCAGCTAGTTAGCTAGATGGCTAGCTAGCTAGTTAGCTAGATGGCTAGCTAGCTAGCTAGCTAGATGGCTAGCTAGCTAGCTAGCTAGGGGTTTGTCTGCTGCCGAGGGTGTGGGGCGTGTTGGGGTGTACGTACACCGCAGATCGAGGCGATAAACGAATCCTTGAAAGAACTTTGGCAAACACTTTATGCCGGAACGGATATTGATAGTATTGCAAGTTAGTTTAATTGATTTAATTAATTCAATTAATTCATTTAATTTAATTAATTAATTAAATTAATTAATTAATTAATTAATTAGTCTAATTAATTTGCTTATTTGATTTGTGTAACTTGTTTATTAATTCATGTATTTATGCAGGAACGGATATTGATAGTATTGCAAGTTAGTTTAATCAATTTAATTAACTTAATTAATTTAATTTAATTAATTTAATTAATTAATTTGATTGAAGTAATTTGATTAAAGTAATATAATCAATTTAATTAATTTAATTAATTTAATTAATTTAATTAATTTAATTAATTAATTGATTTGTTTATTTAATTTGTTTATATTTCATTTATTTACTCACTTGCATTTATTGTATTATTTATTTATGCAGCAATGGATATTGATAGTATTGCAAGTTAGTTTTTGACTAAACTAATTAATTAATTAATTTAAATAATTAATTTATTTATTTTTCATTTATTTTTCATTTATTGTTTGATTTATTATTTTAACTGATGATTCAAATGAGTTTTAAATGATAAATTGGATTAAAATAACTCATTTAATGCATTTATTATGTCTTTTAATGATTCAAATGAGTTTTAAGTGATAAATTACATTAAAATAATTCATTTAATTTATTTTGAATTTCATTTGGAGGTCAAAAGTGTACGTACACCCCAGGTGCCGCGCGCGTCGGAAAATCGGAAATTTTGAAATTTGCGGATTTTGAAATTCTTTTTGCAAATTAAAACAAAAAGTGAAATTAAATGCAAATTAAAACACTTTTAATTCAAAAATAGAACTTTTAATTCAAAAATAATCTTTTAATTCAAGAATAAATCCTTTTTGAAGTGGTTTTCTCCCAAGTCGCGCAAAGTCGGGACTGCTGCAGCTCGCGAAACCGCGAAGTGCAATTTAATTCAATTCAATTTAATGATATTAAGGAATTTAATTAAATTTAATTAAATTTAATTAAGTTTAATTCAATTTAATTCAATAAAATTCAATTAAATGCAATTAAATGCAATTAAATGCAATTAAATGCAATTAGATGCAATTAAATTCAATTATATACAATCAATTTCAGCTAGTTGAATATAATTTAATGCAATTAATTGAATCTGAACATTTACAAAAAGTTATATTTAAAAGCAGCAGCAAAAAGTAACTTTTGTAGCTTTCCTCTTGTCCTTATATTTGCCGTCATTTTCGCCTTTTTATTGTCCTTATATTTATGTTTATATTTACGTTCATATTTATATTTATATTTATATTTAATATTTATATTTATATTTAATATTTATATTTACATTTATATTTATTATCTTCTTATCTATAATTACATGCAGATTACTTCTTTTACATTGATCAGATTTGAATTTATATTTTAATTGCAACAGTAAAATTATTAAAAATAAAATTAAAACTCTATTTAAGGGTTTAGAGAGCCAGAAGCATTTGCTTTTTTGCTGCAGTTCGGTCATCTGTAGCTGCAGCAGAGGACTCTGCTGCAGCAGCAGCAGCAGCAGCATATGGGGGCCTAGCAGCAGGAGAACGTTCTTACAACTACAGAGTTGTGATGAAAACTCCTAATGGAAAAGAAATCGACATGAGAGGCCGTTGTTCTGCGGGTAAGGTCTAAACCCTTTTTTAGGGTTTGCAAGGCTTCGCTGGGGCTGCAAACCCTCTTTTAGGGTTTGCGAGGCCTCGCTGGCGCTGTAAACCTTTTTTAGGGTTTCCAGGCCTCGGTGGCGCTCTAAACCGCTTCTTAGGGTTTGCGAGGCTCCGCTGGCGGTCTAAACCCTTTTTTAGGGTTTGCGAGGCCTCGCTGGCGGTCTAAACCCTTTTTTAGGGTTTAGCGGCTCGTGGCGCAGCGCTGCGGCCTCTTCTGCACTATCTGTAAAACCGCATTTAAAATTAATTCCACTATCTTTAAACTCCGCTTTCAAAACAAACTAATTTAATTAATTTATTTTGAATTTAATATAAATTAAAAAAGAATTAAACGAATTGATTTTGAATTTAATTTAAGTAAAATAGTTTATATAAATTCAATTTGGTGAGCCCATTTGTTTGAATTTCTGGGAATTTCGGATTTTCGGAAAATGCTCGTTTGGAGTCAATTTCGGGTCTTTTTTGCTGCTTTTGGAGCAAATTTGAATGCCAAGAAGCAGCAGCAACGCGAGAAGAAAAGAAACGAAAAGAAGCTTCGAAAAGAAGCTTCGAAAAGAGTCCAAAAGATGCAAAAAGTCGAAAAAGAAGTTGCGGTGGCTGCAGGACAAAAAGTGCTGGCGAGCCTGGCGGTGCGGCTGGCGCTCGCCGACAGTTTTGGGGTGTCTTGCCAGCTGCTGGCCCTCGACGAGCCCACCACGAACTTGGATTCTTTCAATTGCGAAGTCAGTTTTGTCTTTTTTGAGCCTTTCTTTTCCCTTTTCTGTCCCTTCCGACGCCAGTTTCGAACTCCCCGCAAAAAGTTGTCCCCAGTTCCCCAAAAACCGCCCTCCTAACTCACTTTTCCCAGCAGCAGCACCTCCTGCTGCTCCTGCTGCTGCTGCTGCTCCTGCTGCTGCTGCTGCTGCGTAGGACCACTATGCTGCTGCTGCTGATTATGCCCATTACACTGCTCCTGCTGCTGCTGCTGCTGCTGCTGCTGCTTGTGCTGCTGCTGCTGCTGCTTGTGCTGCTGCTGCGCTGCTTCTGTTTCCCCCCTGCTCCCTCCACCGCCGCCGCCGCCGCCGCTGCTGCTGCTGCTGCTGCTGCTGCTGCTGCTGCTGCAGAGCCTGGCGCGGGCGCTGTCGCGTTTGGTGCGTTCGCGGGCCGGCAGCAGCAGCTTCCAGCTGCTGCTGATTACCCACGACGAAAACTTCGTCCAGAAACTTTTCCGAGAAGGACTTTTTCAAAAGTGCGTCAAAGTCCGCAGAGACAACACCGGACGCAGCAGACTCTCCGCAGCCACGCTCCACCTCTAGCTGGCTAGCTGGCTAGCTGGCTGGCTAGCTGGCTAGCTGGCTGGCTAGCTGGCTAGCTGGCTAGCTGGCTGGCTAGCTGGCTAGCTGGCTAGCTGGCTAGCTGGCTGGCTAGCTGGATGGGTGGGAGAATGGCGGGAGCTGGCTAGCTAGCTAGCTAGCTAGCTGGCTGGATGGATGGGTGGGTGGATGGCTAGCTAGCTAGCTAGCTGGGGGGCTAGCTGGCTGGCTAGCTGGCTGGGGGGCTAGCTAGCTGGCTAGCCAGCCAGTTCGCTACCTAGCTGGGGACCCGGCTAGCTAGCTGGATGGCTAGCTAAATGGCTTCCTAGCTAGCTAGCTAGCTAGCTAGCTAGCTAGGTCAAGAGCTAGCTAGCGAAATGGCCTACTGGCTAGCTGCGTAGCTACATGGCCGGGCGGCTAGCTGGACAGCCAATTGGCTAGCTGACAAGCCCACTTGCTGACAAGCTAACCAGCTAGCTAGCTAGCTAGCTATCAAGCTAGCTGGCTATCAAGCTAGCTAGCTAGCTAGCTAGCCAGCCGCTGGCTAGCTGGCTAGCTAGCTAGCTAGCTACTCGCCATCTAGCTAGCTAGCTAGCTGCCAGCTAGCTAGCTACCGGCTAGCTACCAGCTAGCTAGCTACCACCCAGCTAGCTACCAGCTAGCTAGCCAGCCCTCTAGCTAGCTAGCTAGCTAGCTAGCTAGCTAGGTGGCTAGGGACCAGCTACTTCTTTCTTCTTGGGGCCCTTTGCAGCTCACGTTTTGCTGCTGCTGCTGCCCCTACGAGGGAACGCGTTTGTTCATTACAAAAATAAAAAGTCAAAATTAAATTTAATTTAATTTAATTTAATTAAAATTAAAAATTCAAAGATGGAGAGTTGAGTGAAGGGCTCGCGAGAAAGGAACTGCAAATGGAATGAATTTATCTTCTGGCCTTTTTTTTTTCATTGCTGCTGTTGCTGCTGCCGCTACGGCTGCTGCTGCTGCTTCTGCGGCTGCTGTTGCTGCTGCTGCTGCTTCTGCGGCTGCTGTTGCTGCTGCTGCTACTCATTTACAATGCCATTTGAGCTGCTTCTAAATGAGCTTCCAGTTCCTGTGGCTACGGGCTGCTGCTGCTGTTGATTCTGCTGAAGCTGCCAATGCTGCTGCTGCTGCTTCTCGGCTGCTGCTGCAGTGGCTGCTGCTGCTTCGGCTTCTGCTGCTGATTGTACAGCACAGACAGTGTCCACTGAAGAAAAATCATTAAATATAATTAAAGTTGCATTTTAATAATTGAACTTTGCTGCTTATTGGGCTCCTTCCCATGTTTGTGCGCTGCAGCTGGCGCTGCATCAGCAGCAGCAGCAGTAGCAGCAGCAGCAGCAGCGCCTTGGGCGCGGCGAGCGGAGCCACCAAGTTGGCGGTCCGTTTCTCTTTTATTGGAATTAAATTAAATAAATAAATGAAATTTAAGAAGGAAAAGAAATTGGAAACTGAAAAGCTGTCGAACGAGGGAAGAGAGGAGCGAGGCAGCCCTGGCGAGCTGCGGTGTCTTGGCAGCTCTGCGTCGCGTTTTGGATATTTTTTTGGCGAAAAAGAAAAGAAAACTAAATTAACAATTAAAAGCGAGAAGCGGCTCAATTAGAGTGGAGATAAGGGGCTGAATCGGCGGCCGCAGCAGACACGCAGCAGCAGCAGCAGCGGCAGCAGCACCTGCAGCATCGAGCCGTTCGCGCGGCCAAATGCCTCAAAAACAACGCGCTAAAGCCCAGCCCCTGTTGAATTTTGTCGGGATTTTGATTTTAACTGCCTTTGAGCTTCAAGTTGAGTTCTTTCCTGCGTTTTGGGGCTGTCTTTGGGGGCGAAGGGCGGCGGGAGCGGCGCTGTGGCTTTCCGCTGGTTCAGACCAGCGCCAGCCCCCCGGCCGCCGCCGCGACGCGGATCGCCCGAATTCTCGGGTTTTTTTGCGCTTTTTCTGGATTTTTGGGTCTAAATTTAGAAATAAATCCAATAAAAGTCCTTTTGGGAGCTTTTTAGCCCGAAAAACGGACCAAAAGGAGCCCGGGGAGCGCCAGAGCGGCCGCGGCCCTTCTGCCCGGTCTCGTGCGGGCCTGGCTGCTCCTGCCCAAGCCTCCACAAAAGGCTATTAAAGTAAATTAAATTGTTTTTATTTATTTAATAAATCAAATTAATTTCTTATTTGCTTCCTTGCTTGTCTTTTGCCCCTGCAGCAGCAGCACCGGCGCCCGCCGCTGCCACTGATCCGGCTACTGCAGCAGCAGCAGCAGCAGCAGCAGCTGCTGCTGCTGCGGGTGGGGGCCTCGACGAGGCAGCTACCTCAGCTTCTTGTCTTTTGAAGAGCGGCTCAGTTTGAGTGCAGAAGCTGCTTTTAAAAGGTTTTATTTCCTGCTGCTGCTGCAGGGCGGAGCTGTCTAAACACCCCAATTGCTGCGGTTGCTGCAGCTGCTGCTGCTGCTGCTGCTGCTGGTTTGCTGCTGAGGCTTGTCTTCTCTTCTCTGCTTCCTTCTGCTCTTGCGAGCTGTCTGTACACCTCAGGGGCTGACTGCAACTCGACAGCAGCCTCTCACGCGCCGCCTATGACTCCAAACCCTAAACCCTAGACCCTAAACCCTAAACCCTAAACCCTAGAGCGTCGCCAGGACTTCCCCGGCTTCTCCCCGACGCCTTAGAAGTGCATGCAAGCAGCACTTGTTGGCAATTTTGTTATTTAGGGGGGCCGCTGCAGCAGCAAGAAGCGTGAGCCTGCTGCTGCTGCCGCTGTTGCTGCTGCTGCGGTGCTGCTGCAGCACTCCGTCGCTCCCTTTTGCTGCTGCTTTGCTGCTGCAGCTTCCCCACTAAACCCACCATGCTCCGCGCTGCGCCTGTCGTGGGGGCCCCCCCGGAGGCTGAGGGGGCCCCTGATGCTGCTGCGCTCCCTTCAGCAGCAGCAGCAGCAACAACAGAGCCGGCAGCAGCAGCAGCAGCAGCAGGGACGGGAAAACGTGAAAGGAGGAAGCATTATTTCTTTTTAGCAGCAGTGACAACTGAGCTGCTGCTGTGTGCGCTGCTGCTGCTGCTGCATGCGGGGCACCGCAGCAAAGCGCTGCCTGCGCCTGGAGACGCGATAGCAGCAGCAGCAGCAGCAGCAACAGAAGAAGAAGCGCGGGCAGCAGCAGCTGCTGCGGAGGTGGCCGCGGCAGCGGAAGCAGCTGCCGCGGCGGAAGCAGCGGCCGCCGCTGAAGCGGCAGCAGCAGCAGCAGCGGCGGATGCGGAAGCAGCAGAAGCTGCAGCAGCAGCAGAAGCAGCAGCAGCAGCAGAAGCAGCAGCAGCAGCAGAAGCAGCAGCAGCAGCAAGCGAGGAGGACTGGCTGCTGCCGACAGTGGAGGAAGCAGAAGCAGAGCTTCCGGAGTTTCTGCTGGCGGGGAAGAGGTACATAGCGGAGCAGCTGTGGGAGCTGCAGCAGCAGCAGCAGCAGCAGCTGCCGCAGCTGCTGCCGGGACGCGAGAGCTCCGAAGGCATGCGCGTTCTTGCTGCTGCTCTTTCCGGGGGCATTGGCGAGGACCTTGTGGGGCTGGAGCTGACGCTGACGAACATCCGGCCGCTGCAGCAGCAGCAGCAGCAGCAGCAGCAGCAGCTGCAGCAGCAGCTGCAGCAGCAGCAGCGGGAGCGGGCCTTCACGGTGACCCGGTTTCTGGGCGACGGCGCTGCTTCTGCTGTTGTCGAAATCCAAGACAATGCAACGCAGCAGCAGCTAGCGATGCGGCTGACTTATGTGTCTGCGGACTTTGCTGCAGCAGACTTGGAAGCAGCAGCAGCAGGCGTGGCAGCAGCAGCAGCAGCGGAGGAGGAGGTGATGCTGCGCGCTGCTGCGGGCCTGCCTGCTGCTGCTGCTGCAGCGCAGCGCGGCCTCGCCATTCCCCTTTTTGCTGCTGAAATTAAAAACACTCCTCCTATAATGGAAGGAGAAGAAGTTTTTGTTTTTAATAGAGTTCAAGTTTTGGAAAGGCTGCAGGGCGATGCTTCTTTGCTGCTGCAGCAAATCAAGCACCACCGCAACCTCTTGCTGCAGCAGCAGCAGCGCCGCCTGCAGCTGCTGCAGTTCCAGCGCCAGCAGCAGCAGCAGCGCCGCCGCCTCCGCCAGCAGCAGCAGCAGCAGCAGCAGCTGCGCGGCCAGCAGCAGCAGCAAGACGAGTTCGATGACCTGGATTCCGAGGACGACGAGGACGAGCAGCAGCAGGAGCAGCAGCAGCAGCAGCAGCTGGACGAGGTCTGGCTGCCTTTGGAGGCGAAGTGCTACATTAGCTTCCGTTTGCTGCTGCAGGTGCTGCTGCTGCAGCAGCAGCAAGTCAACCACAACGACTTGAAGCTCGAGAACTGCTTCATGAGGGCTGACGGCTCTTTCTTGCTGGGGGACTTCGGCAGCAGCACCTGGTGCAGCAGCATAAGCAGCAGCAGCAGCAGCAGCAGCTGCCAGGTCGAGCAGCTCACAGACATTACCCCAGTCTACGCAGAGCCCGAGTTGCTGCTGGATCTCTACGCGAAGCCCCGGGGGCCCCCCGGGGGGCCCCCCGGGGAGGGGGCCCCCGAGGGGGCCCCCCCTGAGGACGAGGGGACCCCCGAGGGGCCCCTGCTGGGTACTGCAGCACACCCAAAGAGTGACTTGTGGAGTTTGGGAGTTGTTATTTATCAAGTGTTCACTGATGGATTAATTCCCTTTGGGATCGGATCCCCGCGGGAGTCTGTGGGGTTTGTTGCAGCACAAGCTGCTGCTTTGCTGCGGCTGGCGGGGGGCCCCTGGGGCCCCTGGGGCCCCTGGGGGCCCGAGGGGCCCCCCGAGCTGCAGGGGCCCCTCATGCAGGAGCTCGAAGCTGCTGCAGTGCCCCCCAGGTGGCAGCAGCTGCTGCTGCGCCTGCTGCAGCCCCTCAGGGAACAAAGAATTGCAGCAGCAGAAATCGTCGAGGAGTTCGAAGACCTCTACCATCCCCGCTGAAGGCGCCGCCTTTTGCTGCGCGGCAGCAGCAGCAGCAGCAGTAGCAGCAGCAGCAGCGGCAGCAGCGGCAGCAGGAGCTGCTGCTGAAGCGGGGGAAGCGGCCGCGGCCGCAGCGCCGCAGCTTCAGCAGTGCTGCAGCAGCAGCAGCAGCAGCTGCGGGAGCCGCTGCTGCTGCAGCTGCTGCTGCAGCACTGCAGCGGCTGCTGCAGCAGGAGCTCGTAGGTATTTGTTTGTGGAGCCGCGGGCTGTGCTTTTATTTATCTCAGAGGCTTTGATTCTTTTATACATCTAATATTTTATTCTTTTAATTCTTTTGTTCTTTTGTTATTTATTTTAATTTTTAAATGCTGCTTCATTTGTTTGTTTGGCTGTTCGTTTATTTTTTATTTTGTGGGCGCGCCGCGGTGCTCCGGTGTATGCAGTGAAACGAAGCCCTGCTGCTGCTGCAGTAGTTCGAACCGAAACAAATGAAATAGTCGCTCAAAAGGACTTCTTTTGAATCCCAAAATCAAAATAGACTTCGTTTAGACAAAAAAATCGAAGAAAACCATTTATTTCGGCCTCCGCTGGCTACATTTGGCGGGAAGTGGGGAGCACGCGCTCTTCAGAAATGGGGGAACGAGGGACCGAAAAGTAGGCCAGAATCTGAATTTAAAACTTGTTTTTTATTTTGAATTAGTTTTTAATCCGAAATTTAATCCAAAACTGCCTCCAAATTCATTTGTTTCGGAAGTTTGTCCTCGCCGAGCGCCGCCGACGCGACAGCTGGATGGGCTGTCTGTACACCCCAGCGGCGCTGGAGAAAGCGACTGAAATCGAAGTTTAAAAACAATTTAATTCATTATTTGTTATTTATTTCAAGTCGTTTTAATTAATTATTAAAAATAAACCAATTGATCCCGCGGAGTCCTTCAGGGGCCCCGGAGAACCGGCAGCAGCGAGCTAGCTGCAGCAGCAGCAGCTCGAGCAGAACCTTTCTTTGCTGCTGCCTCTTTTACTTAAAAAGGGTTTTTCGTCTTTTCCTTTTATTCCTTTCCACATTTCTCTCACTTTGAGTCCTCCTTGTTCTTCTTTCCAGCATTTTCTCCGCTGCCGCCGCTGCTGCTGCTTTTGCTGCTGCTGCTGCTGCTGCTGCGACTCAATCGACGCAGCTTCTCCTTCTTTTCACCACCTCTTTCTCCCAAAGTTATTAAAGACTTTAAAAGTCTTTTATATCTTCAAGTAAGAACAAATTCTTCCCCATTTCCCTGCTGCCTCGAACACCCCAGGGGCCCCTTAGGGGCCCCTCAGACCCCCTAAAGGGCCCCTCAGACCCTCGAAGGGCCCCCGATGGCCCTGGAGGGTCCCTAGGGGCCCCCCGGGGGTCCCCAGGGGCCTCGCAGGTCTCTGAAGACCCCTGGAGGGGCCCCCTGGGGCCTCTTAGACCTGTGAGGGCCCTTGGGGGCCCCCAGGGGCCCCCGGGAGGCCCCTGGGGGCCCCTCAGTGCCCAATGGGAGCCCCTTCTAGGGGCCCTTGGGGCCCCATTGGCTGCCCTTTGGGGGCCCCCAAAGGCCCCCAAAGGGCAGCCGGGGGCCCTTGGGGTAAACCCTAAACCCTAGACTCTAAACCCCAAGCCCTAAACCCTAAACCCTAAACCCTAAACCCTACGCGGTGGGATGCTGTGTGTGCTGCTGCTGCTGCTGCTGCTGCTGCTGCGGTGCAGCAGCAGCAATGAGTTTGGCGATTCTGTCAGCAGCGATTGCGCAAAAAGCTGCCAGCAAATATCGACAATGTGAAGAAGACAAAACAGTGCAGCAGGACGAGGTGTACGTACACCCCCCGGTCCTCCACTTCGCCTCCTCCTACAGCCTCCTGCCAGGTCCCCAAACCCTAAACCCTAAACCCTAAACCCTAGACTCTAAACCCTAGACTGCGGCGGTTGGACTTTGCACCTTTGTTTCGTTTTGCTTTCTGAGCAGCGTGGCTGGGGGCTGGGCCCACGGTTTAGGGTTTAGGGTTTAGGGTTTGGGGTTTGGGGTTTGGGGGTTTCAGGGGCGGTGGAGAGCCTGTGCGTGGACGGGCTGCAGCAGCAGCAGCAGCGGTTCCGCAGCATCGAAGCAGCAGCAGCAGCTTTGCTGCAGCAGTGTGTGGGGTTGCGCTGCTTGTCTCTGGTGTACGTACACCTCAGCAGCTGCGAGGGCCTTCCTAAACTCCCGCTGCTGCAAACTCTAAACCTCCAAGGAAACGAAATTGCTTCTTTCAAGGGTTTGCTGCACCAGCCCTCCCTCCAGGTAGCAGCAGCAAACCCTAATTTAGCGAGTAGCCAATTCCGTCCCTTCTGCTGCACCCACCAAGAGATCTCACACATTACAAGCGCGGAGCCGCTGCTGCTGCTGCTGCTGCTGCTGCTGTTGCTGCTGCTGCGGCTGCGGCCCGCGCAGCTGCTGTCGCTGCTGCTGCAACTGCTGCTGCCGCTGCTGCTGCTGCTGCCGCTGCTGCTGGAGCAGCTCTGCGGCTTTCGTTGCTGCGGCTTTCGCCGCTGCTGCACCTGCCACCGCCGCCGCCGCCGCCGCTGCTGCTGCTGCTGCTGCTGCAGGTGCTGAATTTGTGGGGCAATTTGCTGTCGAGTTTCAAGTACTTCCCGTGTCTGCCGCAACTAAAAGAACTAAACTTGAGCTGCAACCGCCTCAAAGGAGGCTTCGCCAGACTGGCAGCAAGAGCGCCGCAGCTGCAGCTGCTGCGCCTTTCCCTCAACCCCCTCGAGGACCAGCAGGAGCTGCAGCACCTCGTCAGCCATGCTGCTGCTGCTGCTGCTGCTGCTCAGCTTGCTGCTGCTGTTGATTGTGCTGCTGCTGTTGACTATGCTGCTGCTGCTGACGATCATCATGCTGCTGCTGCTGCTGCTGCTGATCATCATCATGCTGCTGCTGCTGATCTTGCTGCTGCTGCTGAGGATGATCATGCTGCTGCTGTTGATTATGCTGCTGCTGCTGGTGATGTTGATCGTGCTGCTGCTGCGATGGGGTGGGGTGCAATGGGGTTGGGGTTTTCCTGCTGCTGCTGCTGCTGCTGCTGCTGCAATGAGCGGGGTCGGGGCGTTTCCCTCTTCTGCTGCTGCGGCTGGTGCTGCAGCAGGGTGATGTGACTTTTGCTGCTGCTGCTGCTGCGTTTCAGGAGCAGCTAGCTGACTTGAAGCAGCTGGAGCTTTATGGGTGTCCTGTGGCTAACCAGCTGCTGCAGCAAGAGTCTCCGCTGCTGCAGCGGCTGCGGGCCAGAGGTGTTCGTGTGCTGCTGCAGCAAAGCAGCATGCCCTTGGACATGCTGAAGCAGCTGCAGCAGATGCAGCAGGACCACCAGCAGCAGCAGCAGCAACAGCAGCAGCAGCAACAGCAGCAGCAGTGGGTTGCAGGTGGACAGAAACCTGTAGCCATCCGTATCACGCCTCCGTAAGACTGCAGCAGCTGCTGCAGCTCCAGCAGCTGCTGCTGCTGCTGCAGCTTCTGCTTTTTTGGTCCTTTTGTCCGTCTTATCTAAACCTAAGCTTCCGCAAAATGGGAACTGCAGCAGCTAAATAAAAGACGAGATGTCTCTGGCTGCTGCAGCAGAAGCTGCAGTAGCAGCTGCAGCAGCAGCAGCAGCAGCAGAAGCTGCAGCAGCAGCAGCAGCAGAAGCTGCAGGCAGCACGTAGCAGTAGCTGCAGCAGCAGCAGCCGCAAAGGCTGCAGGAGCAGCAGCAGCAGCTGCGGCAGAGGCTGCAGGGGCTCCTGCAGGTGAAGTTGCTCCAGCATCAGCAGCTGCTGCTGCTGCAGATGCTGCTGCTGCAGCGCAGCAGCAGCAGCTGCTGCAGCAGCACCAGCTGCTGCTGCTGCTGCTTCTTTGTCCCTTTTATTTTTCAGTTTGCGTAGAGACCTTTTCTAATTTTGCCTTGTTTATTTCCCTTGCTTCCTTGGGGTGTATCGACACCTCGCTGCTATCCTCAGAATTTAAAATGAAATGAAAATAAAATAAAAATCATTATTAATTACTATTTATTTTTTATTTATTTATCTATTTAGTTAGTCAGTTATTATTTATTTATTTATTTATATACTTAATTGGTTATTTATTATTTATTCATTTATTTATCTGTTTAGTTACTTAATTATTTATTATTTATTCGTTAATTTATTTATTTATTTATTTATTTATTTATTCATTTGTTTATTGTTTTCACCTTTCAAGTTCTTTGGATTAAAACTTCACTGCAATCTTCACTTTGTCAAATTGAATTTCTTTTTGCCTTTATGAATTAAAAAAATAATATTTAAATTTAAAGTTAAATAATAAAATTAATATTTAAATTTAGAATAAAAAATGGAATAAACACTTAAATTTAAAATTAAATAAACAAAATAAGTATTTGATCCTAAAATTAGATAATAAACAATTTTTAGAACTAAATAAAGTGATATTTAAATTTTAGATGATTAATTATATATTTTGCGCTTCTATGAAGATAGAAAAGACCCACTTATGCATGTTTTGCTGCACCAGCAGCAGCTGTTGCTGCTGCTGCTGCTGCTGCTGAAGAGGCACTTGGTCCTCCACTCCATTTTATCCAACTCCTATTTCTAGAAGTGTAGGGATGGGAGTAGATAAACTCTTTGCGCATTTTATTAAAATTAAAAAATTTATTTTTCAAAAATTAAAACTGCAGCACAGCAGCAAGGCCAAATGCTCCTGCTGCTGAGCCTTTCGGGTGCATCTCTGGGATCTTACGCAGCAGCAGCAGCAGCAGGAGCAGAAGCAGCAGCGGAAGCAGCAGCAGCAGCGGCAGAAGCAGCGGAAGCAGCAGCAGCAGCAGAAGTACCACCAGCAGCAGAAGCCCCAGCAGCAGCCACAGCAGCATAAACAGCAGCAGGAGCAGCAGCAGCAGCAGCAGCGATCTTTTGAGGGGAAGAAGAAAAAACAAATTGGCTTTTGACACAAAGAAGGTGAAGAGATCAAATATTTGAATTTGGTTGAAATAGAAAAAAAGAAAATTAAATTAAACGGAATTAAAAGACAGCCTGTAGAGCAGCACAAACGGCAAGAGAGAAGTGCAGTAGCAAAAGGCCTGGTGTCCAAATGGCTCTTTTTGAATAAAATTTGAATCTTGTCGAATTTGAATTTGAGCAAAAGAGCGGAAAAGAGCCGCTAATTGATTGAAATTTACTCCATTTGAGAGTTTAAAATGAATATACTTGCGAATAATTGAAAATAATAATAAATTAATTGAGAATTAATTCACTTTCGAAGCAAAATAAACCGGGGAAGCAAACACTGAACACAGCTTTGTGACTGCGGCGCTGTGGGGCTGCTCGGAAACAGCAGCAGCTCGTCCACCAACTGGTCTATTTAATTAAATTTATTTAACTTTATTTAAATTTTATTCAAATAAATGCAAAAAAAAGAAATGGAGCCTCAAAGAAGAAGAAGCTGCGCGGAAGTCGCTCTGGTTTTCGGGTGTACGTACACCTGGTCTCAACAGCCCGCGGTCGTCAACGCCTTTTGAACTTCTTTCATAACTGAAAAAAAGGCACTTTAACTCCAAATATAATTCTCATTTTTAATTTAAATTCGAATTGCAGCTTTTTTAAAGCCTGCTTTTCTATTTTTATTCTGGTTTCCTCCGTTTCTGCAGCTGCTTCCCTGCGGTACTCGCGCTTCGGGTGTCTGTACACCCCAGCACTTGCAGCTTTCTTCCGCGGATCTTCGCCGTTTTTTCTCTTTTTTGAGATGAGTTTTGTTCTTTAAATCCATTTTGATTAAACTGGAGCCGTGTGTGCCCGCGAGCTGCAGCAGCCGCTCCACGAAAATGGAGCTGCGGCAGGAACAGCTGCAGCAGAGGCGGCAGCAGCAGCAGCAGCAGCAGCAGGAAGACCACCACCAGCAGCAACACCGGCTGTACATGCAGCAGCAGCACTACCTCCACCACCGGCATCCGCAGCAGCAGCACCACCACCAGCAACACCCGCAGCAGCGGCAGCAGCAGCGACAGCAGCAGCAGCAGCAGCAGCAGCAGCGGGTGCCCGGCTCCACCAGCGGGCGGCAGCACAGCAGCACGCTGAGCTGCCCTGAACCCCAGGGCCTCTCCAGTGCTGCTTCTGGAGCCGATTCTGAAAGTGCTTCTGGCTTTGAGAGCAGCAGCTGCTGCGGCGTGTCTCCTGCTGCTCGCCGCCGCAGCAGCCGCAGCAGCAGCAGCAGCAGCAGCAGGTACCGCAGGGCGCTCAGCCCCCAGGGCTCTTCTTTTGCTTCTCTCAGCACCGAAAACCTCACAGACACAAATCGCCTTTTTGCAGAAGCTTCTCGAGAAGGCAGAGATAGTGCTCCCGACGACTCGGGCCCTGAGCCTGCTGCTGCTGCTGCTGCTGCTGCTGCTGCTGGTTTTACTGCAGCAGCAGCAGCGGCGGCTGCGGGGGGCACAGCTGTGGCGCCCGCTGCTGCTGCAGCGAGCCCCCCTGCAGCTTCAGCGGGCCCCGAGAGACGGTCCAAGCCGGGCGCAGCAGCAGCAGCAGCAGCAGCAGCAGCCCCAGCAGCAGCAGCAGCAGCAAGAACTGCAGCAAAGGGGGCCCCCGCAACCCCCTGCCTCGCCCCCAGAAAGCTGCGGCAAAGGGCCCCCCCCAGAGTGGCCTGGGTCAACAGCAGATTCATCAGAGAACTCGCCAGCGATGACCACCGCGCGGGCCAACTCGTAGGGTTTAGGGTTTAGGGTTTAGGGTTTAGGGTTTAGGGTTTAGGGTTTGGGGTTTAGGGTTTAGGGTTTAGGGTTTATAGGGTCTGGGTTTAGGGTACAGGGCGGAGGGTTCACGGTTTGAAATTTAGGGTTTGGGGTTTAGGGTGTAGGGTTTAGGGTTTAGGGTTTAGGGTTTAGGGTTCAGGGTTTAGGGTTTGGGTTGGTGAGGTGTCCAAGCAATTTGTTTCTTTAGGGATTAATTTTGTATGAAATAAAATAATTAAAAGTTGAAAATAAATTTATTATTAGATTAATTAATTAAACTAAAAAGAATTACAATTATTTGAAATAAATTATTAAATTAAAATTGTTTTATCATTTCTTTTATTCATTTTACATTTATTACGAACTCTTTCTTTCTCGTTTTTTCACCACTACAAACCCCTTTTAATTCACAATTAATTAATTAATTATTATTAATTTATTAATTTATTATTTATTATTTATTTATTATTTATTTATTTATTTGTTTGTTTGTTTTTATTTGCAGCCCGGCTGCGCCAGTTTTGTTTATTCTGCCTGCCACGTCGAGGGCTATGACTTGCGGGCCATTTACCAAGATGCCATTCAGTAAATAAATAAACTAAATAAATAAATTAATTTAATTTAATTTAATTTAATTTAGTTTAATTGATTTAATTTAATTAATTCAGTCTGGCTAATTTAATCGAATTAATTTAATTAAATTAATTAAATTAATTTAATTAATTAATTAAATTGGTTTTCGAGTTAGTAATATATGGCAAGAAATGGCATTAAGTGGTTAATGGCATTTTAATCTGCCAAAAGTCAAACGAGTTAACTTGTTTGTTTGTTTAATTAATTTAATTTAATTTAATTGTTCGTTTATTATTTAATTCAATTTAATTATTGATTGATCATTTATTTATTTATTTATTTATTTATTTATTTATTTTTGTTTAGGAAAAATGTGTTTTGTCGACTTCTAAGTGAACATAGTGTTTTGGTCCTGGAGGTCGATAGTTCTCTCCACCTCGCAGACCCCAAGGTGCGCCAAACCCTAAACCCTACTTTAGGGTTTAGGGTTTAGGGTTTAGGGTCTAGGGTTTAGGGTCGATTTTAGTTAGGGCTTACAAGTGGGTCTCAGCGATTCCCTCGCAAGCCCCTTCTCTCTACGAGCAGCAGAAGCTACAGCAGCAGCAGAAGCAGCAGCAGCAGCAGCAGCAGCAGAAGCAGCAGCAGCAGCAGCAGCAGCAGAAGCAGCAGCAGCAGCAGCAGCAGCAGCAGCAGCAGGATGCCTCTGTGTCTGCCGCCTTCCAGAGCTCCTCTGCTGCCCGTTTCACCTCCAGTAAATAAGCGAACAACCAAACAAACAATTTAATCGAATTAATTAATTAATTAATCAATTTAATTAATTAATTAATTAATTAATTAATTAATTAATTGTTTTGTTCGAAGGCGAGAAGCCAAGAAGCCTTCGAAGCCATTTGCGGGCGGGCCTGGTCCGAGCGGGAGCTGGAGCTGCGGCCTTGTGCTTCAGCAGCAACAGCAGAGTGTTGGCGGACGCCTCCTGCTGCTGCTGCTGCTGCTGCTGCTGCTGCTGCTGCAGGGGGGCGCGGGGGCTCGAGCTCGTCGGAGCTGGAGGCTGCTGCTGCTGCTGCCGGGGACCTGCTGCTGCGCCGCTGCTGCAGCAAACCCCGCAGACACTTCGGAGACTCTTTAAATGCCACTTTAGTTTTTATTTTCGAAAAAGGGACTTTAGTATTGTGGGTAGCAGCAGCAGACAGTCGTGCTGCAGGGCCCAAGGGCCGCAGGGAGCTTCTCTCCAGTTTGCTGTTCTTCTTGAGCCCTTTCGCCAGTGCGCTGCTGCTGCTGCTGCTGCTGCTGCTGCTGCTGCTGAATTTTGCTGCTGGGGGTTTGTCGAGGGTAACTCGAAGCCAGTTTCTTGGGTTTCGCAGATGTGTGAATTTGTTTTGATTATAATTATTTAAATAAATGGAATTAAAAGAATTAAAATGACATTTAATTTTTGAAATTAAATTTGAACTTTTCTTTTTGCTGCAGCAAGATTTGTAAGGGCAGATTTGGTGCAAGAAGATGCCATGAGATTTGCCTATGTCCGCCAAGTCCGAGCCATGTTCCCCGACTACGAGGTCAGCAGCAGCAGCAGCAGCAGCGGCAGCAGCAGCAGTAGCAGCAGCAGTAGCAGCAGCAGCAGTAGCAGCAGACGCAGTAATTGCAGAGAAACAGCATCAGCAGCAGCAGCAGCAGCAGCAGAAACAGTAGTACCCGCAACAAAATCAACCATCTAGAGCAGCAGCAGCAGAACCAATAGCGGCAGCAAAAACAAAAGCACTACCAGCAGCAGCAGCAGACGCAGCAGCAGCAGCAGCAGCAGCAGCAAAACAGCAAAAGTTGATTTGTGCTGCTGCTGCTCTCAGGTACCGAAGTCGCGAATTCAGCAAGACTGCATTTACCTGAAGGTGATCTATTTATTTATTTATTTATTTATTTTTATTTATTTATTTATTTATTTATATTTTTATTTTTATTATTTATTTATTCAGACTGCTTCAATTGCGGAGAAGCTGTCGGCGTCTTTCGCTTTGGCCCAGTCAATTCGACTGAGTGTTTATGGTGAGAAATTATTTTTTAAATAACTTAAATATTTTAATTTAATTTAATTTAATTAATTTAATTTAATTAATTTAATTTAATTTAATTTAGTTTTATTTTAATTTCATTTAGATCCACTTCCCTCTTTCTGCACTCTTCTACCAGCCCATCTACTTCCTTAAAGTAAGGTTTAGGGTTTAGGGTTTAGGGTTTCGGGTTTAGGGTTTGGGGTTTAGGGCCAAAGCAGCCGCTGCTGCTGGCAGTTAGCTGCTTGCTTCCTCGGTGCCCGGGTTTTAGGGTTTTCGAGGGGATAGGGTTTGCTAGGGTTTGTAAGGGTTTATTAGGATTTAGGGTTTGCGAGGGTTTAGGGTTTGCGAGGGTTTAGGGTTTGGCGAGCTCTCGAGCTCGCTAGGTCTTCCTGTTGCCGATAATTCAGAATCCGGCCTTGGCCAGGGTTCAGGGTTTAGGCCTCAGGGTTTAGGGTTCAGGGTTTAGGGTTTAGGGTTTAGGGTTTGTGTTTCGCAGAGTGTTTGATAAACTTCACAATAGCGCGGGTTCGCTCGATTCCCGAGCGCATGGCTGCGCACGGAAGCGCAGAAGCTTCTTTAGGGTTTATTTCCGAAATTAAATCAAAAGGATTAAAAGGGTTTTCTTTTTTTTTCAAAAAGATTAAGACCATTAAACCCCCGGAGGCCCACGGGGCCCTTTGCGGGGACTTGTTGAAGAACATCGTCGAAGTCAACATTGTCCAGGGTACCACTTTGCAATTCTTTGCAACTTTTTCTCCCGTTTTCGCATTTCTTTCGCTTTTTTTGTTCGTTTTTTCATTTATTTCAAACTATTTATTCTTTTTTATTTATTTTCTTTTATTTTCCTTTTTTGCGGGAAAATTGACCCAAAATTCGCCGCTTCCTTCGCCGCTTCTCCGCGGTGTCTGTACACCCGAAATGCTGATCCACACTTTCTTTCCTTCGGCGCTTTTCCAGAAGCACCAAATAAATAAATAAATAAATAAATAAATAAATAAATAAATCAATAAATTGATTGGTGAATTAATTGAAGAAGTTTCGTCTGCCTCTGTCGGCTTTTGGGTTTGCTGGCGCAGTGGCAAATTTCAGAATAGACTTCTTTTTGATTTTTATTTCTCTTAAACCAATCACTGAATTGCTTTCTTTTAATTTAATTTCTTTTTATTCATTTATTTTATTTATTTCTTTTATTTTATTGTCAGCTTTCTTAATCTTTTGTTGAATTGAAAATTCTGTTTTTTCGGGTGTATCGACAGCTCGGAGGTGGTCTCGGGGCGGAATTTTTCGGATTTTTTCGTTTTTTGTTTATTTGAGTTCATTTCTCTTGCTTTTGCCTCCAGTTTGTCGTGTATTTGATTCTTTTTGACATCTTTTCTTTATTCCGCGTTTAATTCTTTTGTTTTTTGCCTTTTGTGCAGACTTTCGAGACGTTCCGCAGTACTTTTGGAACGACGACAGGTGGCAGTACTTTTGGCGCCGAGTAAATTTGCAGTTTATTAAAATTAAATTTAAAATCAAAAATGAAAAAGAAGTTTTAAATTGTTTTAAATCATTTCCAAAAGAAATTAATCAATTAATTAACTAATTAATTAATTAATTAATTAATTAATTAATTAATTAATTAATTATCTAATTAACAGCTTTTTAACAAATCCATCAATCTGCAAAAACCAGGAAAATTCAAATTTTAAATCTGCACCAACATCAACTGCACTTTATTCAAATCAAACAAACAAAAAAATTAATTAATTAATTAACTAATTAATTAATTAATTAATTAATCACTCCATTAATTAATTAGTTAATTAATTAATTCATTTTTTTGCAATAATTAAAGCCCGAATTGCTTTAAATAAATTTCTTTATTTCTTTTGCATGCATTCTCTGCCTTTGCTTCAGCTGTACGTACACCTGGAAATTCAAAAGCGCATCAAGTTATTAAACAACAGATACTTTTGCATTCACGAACTTCTCAAAGTAGTCCGCGAAGAAAGACGCTCTCGTCAGCTGCTGCTGCTGCTGCTGCTGTTGCTGCAGCTGCTGCTGTTGCTGCGGCGTTCGGATTTTGGCTTTTTTTTATTTTTAAATGCGAGGCGGGCAAATAAAGGCTTTTATTATTATTTATAATTTTATTTTTTATTTGTTTTGTTTTTGTCAAATAAAGGACTTTATTATTATTTTAAATTCCCTTATTTTATTTTTTACTTTATTTTTTTATTTTTTGGTTTACTCAGGACAGGAGTTTCGGCTCACGTGGATTATCGTCATTCTTTTATTTTTTCAGGTTCAAAATTAAAACTAAAATCTAATTATTTATTTATTTTTTTATTATTAATTAATTAATCAATTTATTTATTTGTTATTTATTTATTATTTATTCATTTATTTATTTATTTATTTATTTTTACTTTCAGGTAGTTGCGTTGGCGCTTCGGAATTTCGTAATTCACCCATATGAGCAAATAGACGGCAAAAGCCGTCGGGGCTGAACTTTAAAACTTGATCATTTTTGAATTATTTTCTTCACTTTTTGGATTTATTTTCTCCATTTTCTCCGGTTTTTTCGTTTACTTCGTTCATTTTAGTCCTTTATTTCATTTATTTTCCATTTTTGCTTTTATTTTCTTTTTTTTCCGCTTATTTTCCATTCATTTTCCACTTTTTACTTTGTTTTTATTTCCCACTCTTCCCCGTTTCCCTTTTCCTTATTTTCGAACTCCGAGAGACCCCAGGCAGCTGCTACCTCTTTAGCTCATTTACAAAACAAATAAATAAATAAATTAATTAATTAATTGGAGTAAATAAAAAGAAGTAAATAAATAAGTATAATTAATTAATTCAAGTAATTAATTAGTTAATTAGTGGAGTGAAAAAGGGCACAACTGTCTAGCCAGGTAGGTAATTTTACTATACGAAAAATCCCTAGAGTTTACTTTTGCCTTTTTTTTGGATTTTATCACGAGTTCCTTTTTGAGTGAAAAAAGGATGAATCAAAAGGCCAAAAAGAGGGTCTTTTGGCCTCTTTGAACTCCAAAAATGGAGAACTAAAAGGTTGAATTAATTGGAAGTTGATTTGCAAATAAAAACGAAAGAATTCGACGAAAAAGAAATGGACTTGTGGCTGCTGCTGACTGCAGCAGCAGCAGCTGTGCGGTGTACGTACAGCCAGCCCTACGCGAGCTGCTGCAGCAGCGGGGCTGTTCTCGCGGGAAAAAAGCGGAAAAAGAAAAATACAAAGAAAAGTTTCGAATTAATTAATTCAAAAATACTTGTGGAGGCTCAAAGCTGCGTTTTAAACGCAAATTCATCGCAAATCAGTAGCGCCTGCTGCGGCCGCGGCGTGATTTGCTGGTGCTGCTGCTCGAGGCGCTGCCCGAAGCGGCCAAAGGACTCTTTTCAATTAAAATAGATTAAATTTGAATGAAGTAATTAATTAAAACTGCAAATTGCGTTTATTTCCGTGGCTTTAAACCTTTTTGCAACTTTCGCTCCAGCTGTACGTACAGTACACCCGAGCGCGGCTCCGCCGTCGACTTCAGGTGTATGCGCAGGTGTGCAGCCGCGGCTCGTTCTTCTTCGTTTCTTTTGCACTATTTAATTTAATTAATTTAATTTGCAAGTTTTGAAAAATAAAAAGCTTTTAACTTTTTTAAATGGAGTCCGAGGCCTTCGAACCCCTCGGCTACCCCCTGGCCCCCCAGGGCCCCTCCAGCCACCCCAAGCACATCTTCAGAAAGGCTGAAAACGAAGAAGACACAATTCACAATATAAAAGCATGTGGGAGCTCTTTTAATATTTAAATTTAATTAATTAAATTTAATTTATTAGTTTAAATTTAATTTTAAATTTAAAATCGAATTTATATTCAAAATTAAAATTAAATTCAGGTGGTCTCCAGTGGCTTTGTGAGCACAAGTAAAGGACAGGCTTCCTTGTCTCATTTGCTTTTATTTATTTTTTATTTATTTTTCCTTTAGTTGATTTTTATCAATTATTTATTTATTTATTTATTTATTTATTTATTTATTTTTCATTACCTATTTATTTATTATTTATTTTTTACTTGATAATATTTACTATTTAGTTGATACTATTTATTATGTATTTATCTATTATCTACTTGACATTATTTACTACTCCTTCTCTATCATTTATTATTTATTTGAGAATATTTGCTGTTTATATATTTGTTGTTTAATATCATTATATATTAATTATTACTTATTATTATTTGATATTTATTTATTCATTTATTTACTTATTTATTTATTCATTTATTTACTTATTTATTTATTCATTTATATATTTATTTATTTTTTAATTATCTTTTTACTCATTTTCCTTGAAATCTATTTTCCGCCTTTTCCATTTAATCCATTTACCTCCAATTACCAACTAATCAACTAATTAATTAGTATTTATCATTTATTTATTATTTATTTATTATTTATTTATTATTTATTTATTATTTACTTATTATTTATTTATTTATTTATTATTTATTATTTGCTGCTGCAGCAAAAGACTCGCCCCACCAGTCTCTGTGCATTTCGCTGCTGCTTTCTGGCGAGCCAAAAGCCTTTACAGATTTTTTCTCTTTAGACAAAACTGAACTCGAAAACATCCAACTCCAAGAAGAGGAAGGCGGGCCTAGGGTTTAGGGTTTAGGGTTTAGGGTTTAGGGGTTAGGGCTAGGGTTTAGGGTTTACGGTTAGGGTTTAGGGTTTAGGGTTAGGGTTTTGGGTTTGGGGTTGAGGATTTAGGGTTTAGGGTTTTAGGGTCTAGGGTTTGGGGTTGAGGAATTAGGGTTTGGGCTTCAGGGTTTGGGGTTGAGGATTTAGCGTCTAGGGTTTAGGATTTACAGTTTAGGGTTTAGGAATGCAGACGGTTCCAAGAAGAAGGCAGGGAATAGGTTTTAGGGTTTAGGGTTTAGGGTTTGGAGCTTAGAAGAGAAACCCATTATGGGCAACTCACGGCAGAAGAAGAAAACAAGAATTGGCGGTTTAGGGTTTAGGGTTTAGGGTTTAAGGCTAAGAATAGTTCTTTCAACAGAGGCAAAAAACGGCTTTAGGGTTTAGGGTTTAGGGTTTAGGGCTTAGGGTTCAGGGCTTACATGACAAAATTTCCCCTGCGTTGTCTCATCAGGAAACGGCTCTGCGTTGCAGCGTCTGGCTGCTGCGTGCTCTGCTGCTGCAGCTGCTGCAGCAGCAGCAGCAGCTGCTGCTGCTGCTGCTCCTGCTGCTGCTGCTCCAGCAGACTATGAAGAAGCACTTTCTATCTACCAGTGGCTTTCGCACTTTTTGTCTTTTTGCAAAGCTCCAAAAAGCTCCTTTTACATTCAGCGAAAGGCCCTCAGTTTAATTAAACTCTCCAAACCCTCGCCAGTCGTGGCTTCCCTCCTCAGAGACATAGGCGAGGGTTTAGGGTTTAGGGTTTAGGGTTTAGGGTTTGTGGGGTTGGGCTTTTGGGCGTTGGTGTTCCGCGTTTCCTCGGGTAAAGTGAGCAGATGATGCCATTTGCTTCTTACTATAATTTATTCATCTTGAGGGTTTAGATCTAGGGTTTAAGGTTTAGGGTTTAGGATTTAGGATTTAGGATTTAGGGTTTAGGGTTTAGGGTTTGTTTGGCGCCGCTGCAGGGGACACAGAAAGGCGAGCGGGCTTTGCGGAGTCCGCAGAGCAGTTCTACAACGAAAGCCTGCAGGCAAGCGCTAGGGTTTAGGGTTTAGGGTTTAGGGTTTAGGGTTTAGGGTTTAGGGTTTAGGGTTTAGGGTTTAGGGTTTAGGGTTTAGGGTTTAGGGTTTGTCTCAGGTGGCCCGGCTCTGCAACTCCGCCGTAGACGTCAAAGAAGCCGCGAAGAATTTGGTGGAGTGCGCGGGGAAGAAAGCAGAAGATGCAGAAAGGGTAATTGCGAGGGTTTAGGGATTAGGGTTTAGGTTTTAGCGCTGGGGTTTAGGGTTTAGGGTTTAGGGTTTAGGGTTTGGAGGAAGGCCGGCTTCCGTTGTTGAATGCGCAGGGGAGAAAGCAGCAGAAGACGCGGAAAGAGCGATTGCTGGGGCCTAGGGTTTAGGGTTGGGGGCTGGCTCTAGGGTTTAGGGTTTAGGGTTTAGGGTTTAGGGTTTGCAGGAAGGCCGCGTTTCTGAGGCCATTTCAATTCGCCGAGGGTGTTTAGAATTGGCCAAAATTAGTCAAGACGAAGATTTGCATTGGAACTCTTTGCATGCGCTCGGGCTGGCCCTGGGAAATAACGGTAGGGTTTAGGGTTTAGGGTTTAGGGTTTAGGGTTTAGGGTTTGGGGTTTAGGGCTTGGGGTTTAGGGTTTAGGGTTTACGGTTTAGGGTTTAGGGTTTGGGGTTTGGGGTTTGGCGTTTTGGGTTTAGGGTCTACGGTTTAGGGTTTGGGGTTTAAGATGTGCGGTGGTTTAGGTTTTGGGGTTTGGTGTTTAGGGTTTAGGGTTCAGGGTTTAGGGTTTAGGGTTTAGCGTTTAGGGTTTAGAGTTTAGGGTTTAGGGTTTAGGGTTTAGGGTTTGGGGCGCGTTGGGGGGATCTTTGCCTGTTGCACATTACTAATTATCATTTATTCATTTATTTAGTATTAAGTATTTATTTATTTATTTTTATTTATTTATTTATTTATTTATTTATTTATTTATTTATTTGTTTGTTTGTTCATCTATTTGTTTATTTATTATTAGGCGATGAGGCGGGAGCTGTAGAGATTCAAACGGAGTGTCTGCACCTTGCCGAGTAAATTAAAATTAAAATTAAATTCAATTTAATTTAATTTAATTAAATTGAATTAAATTAGATTAAATTAAATTAAGTTAATTAAATTAAATTAAATTAATTTAAGTAAATTAATCAAATTAAGTTAAATTGAATAATTTAAATTAAATAAATTAAATTAAGTTAAATTAAGAATGAAAATTAAAATTAAAATAAAAAATAATGATAAGCTTGAATTTAGTGTTGCAGTTCAAATTAAATTCGAATTAAAATAATTTATTTTAAGTTTCTCTCTTGCTTCCTCATATATTTTTAATTCTTTTTAATT